TATTTGTCAAAATACAATATATCTTTATATGTTAATAAAATAAATACTCACGAAACAATGAAATATTTCATTTATAATATTTAAATATTTGTCAAAATATAATATATCTTTATATTTTAATAAAATAAATACTCACAAAACAATGAAATATTTTATTTATAATATTTAAATATTTGCCAAAATATAATATAATAATAAAATAAGATACAAAATAATGAAATATTTATTAAATATTTAAATATGTTAATAATAATAAATTGTTAATATTTTGTCAAAATATAATATATATTTATTATATACTAATTATATATTAATGAATGTTTATATATTAATGAATGTGAAATATATTAATGAATATGAAATATATTAATGAGTGTGAAATATATTAATGAATGTGAAATATATATATATAATTTATTCCTTTTCATTTAAAGAAAGTTCAATTGATGCCAAATCAGTGAGTTTGGTTCGTTTGTTTGTTTGCTTATTTTTATCACCTGAACACTGATTAATTTGTTCTCTAGTTTGTCTTCTAGTTCGATGTTGCTTTTGTGTTTGTTGAGATTGTTGTTCTGACTTTTTATTTTGACCAGTTTGTGTTTTTTGTGTTTTTCTAGCTTGCTTTGGTTGAGGTTGATTGGATGGTTGATGTTGTTGTATTGAATTGGATGATGTTGTAGTTGTCCATGTATCAATATGTGGTGAAGAAAAAGGAATAGATGATGATGATGATGATAAAGTTGTTATGTTAGTGTTATCATCATCAGTATCATTAATATCAATTAATGATTCTACAACATGAAGTGGCTGTTGTTGTTGTAGTTGTTGATAAACTGGTCCTACAACGTTTGAACTAAATCCAGGTACGTGATAATAAATTATATGAAGAACGATTTTTAATTCTTCATCAGCACTATAAACCAAGGCTGAATTTTTTGTCATGAGTTTCAATTTCGATCCTGCCTATTTAGCATTGCTGAAAAGTAATCAGGAGTTGAGGAAGGAACTTAATGCAGAGGTAAGTATAAATTGTCAGAA